ATATAGTGATGATATATTGCCACATTGTGCTCGATTCCCTATATAATAAATAACCGTTTTACTTTGTAGCAAATTAAGGCTTGTCGATTTAGACTATGTACGACTTGTTCTATTTTTGCATAATTATACATTTGGAAAAAGCAATTGACAATGTTAAATAGGACAAGATGTTAAATATAATATAATATATTAAAATTGAAGGGATGAGATCCAGAGGTAGAAGTGTGATACATAATTTCTATAAAGAGCAACATGCACTTATAGAACTTGAGCAGTAACGCAGAGAAGTAAATATCAGGAAAGGAGTCAGACAAGGAAGCACAATTTCATCCCTACTTTCTAATCTACCCATCGAAGACGCGATCAACATCATTAAAGACAAGGCAACTGTGCGAATAGATATACAGGGGCAAAAGAATAGTATGCTTAGATTTGCAGGTGTTATAGCAGTATCAGCATTTAGCGACGAGGAGTTAGAGATAGCCTTAAATAAAATGTAAACAGTATTGACAGAACAGTTTAGTATGAAAATAAACAAAAGTAAAACAAGAATACTGGTATGGAAGGGAAGAAAAAGTAGGCAAAAAGCGAAGATAAAGATAGAAGACGGAAACTTAGAAGAAGTAGGTAAATTGCGATGTCTAGGAATACAGACAAGTTCAGAGAACTCCACGAAGTTCAATGAGAAATAGGCGAGATAGGTTGCTAGGACACCTTTTCAGGCATAATGAGCTGGTCAGAGACATATTAGAAACGGAATAATGAGTAAAGAGGAATAAAGGTAGACCTAGATTAGATTACTGTTCACCAATAGTTACGAATGTGGGATGTTCTAGTTTTAAGGAAATGTGAAGCTCAGAATAGGAAATAGTGGAGGTGTGAGTCCAATCTGTCTTAAGACTGACGAAGTTATGACGATGATGGTGAGCATCTTTAGGACAAGACTGGAAGTACGAAATAATACCGAATATGTTACTATAGGGTTTTGTATATCCACTGTTAACGTTAAGCAATAATGAACAAAATGAAATTATGATAATTTTCACATTTACTATGATCAATTACATCGCTTCTATGAGATAAACATATTATATTTTATGTCGGTACTATTTCTACGACAAACAAGCGCCTCTTCTTCAGGCCTCTTACCTTAACTCTAAATACCGATACGATTCTGTTAGTTGGACAGTCATTAAGATTTTTGTGCCAATCCCAAGAAGGATAGGGTTTAACAATAGGATTGCCATCGGCGGTGGTTTTGTTAGTAACTGTAGCGATAGTTGCAGGATGCCCACCCTGCATACGAGGCATGCCGATAAATACCTTTTGCCCTCGACCTGTAAATATATAAAAATTAATACATTGTTTTTCTATTACATATGCGCCTTTTCTTAAGGCTTTCTTACCATCATTCTAAATACCGATACGATTCTGTCAGGTGGGCAGTCTATAAGATTTTTATNTACTTGCTCATTATCTAACATAACATTTAAATGAATCACGTTAAACCAAATTATTTCTTTTGTATATAAACTTTAACTACCTGTAACAAAAAAATCAACCGAACAAGTGAATTTTTTCAATTTAATTTTGTGAACTGATCCCTACTATTAAATATTTAATCTACGCCCCTAATAGGAATACTGAAGAAAGATGGCTGCAATTGTTATGACTAAAACTGTCTATTCTTTTCACCTTTTTTAAAATTTCCGCCAGCTTCGAGCGTCAGCCATCCAGCACAGTCGGTGGAAACATGAAATCCTTTTTATATCAGTTTTATCTGCACAACCAAGTTTGTAGTTGTAATTGTTCCGAAACAACCTCCCAAAAAGCAATTTTTAACGGAAAAACGGTGATTTTTCGGTCACTTTTTTTTAGTTATGGAGTCGCCATTAAAGTTGCTTCCCTCAGAAATATTGTGCAATACCGAATTGTGCAAGATATTGTTTCGAGCTAAGGACCAATTACTACAAAAGCTTGGTCCGCCAACTGCGCTAATCTGTACTTATTATACGGTAAATATGTCTCACAAGTACCTTTTCATTTTTAATTACAATATCCTATAAGGCCAAATGAATGATTCAGAATTAGTTGTTAATCTTTTTTAATTCATATATAGCATATAAATTGTTTTGCTATAGGATTTCTGAACTCTCTAATATGAAATTATTGATTTAACTGAATATCTGAACTATTAAAAGTTAAAAGTTTTATGAATTTTTTGTATGGAAAAACTTACATGGAATATTTCTGGGGATGATTGAGGATTGTTTTCAAACCTGGTACGATTTCTCAGATATGATGTGCTAACGAAGTTCTCTGTGGTACTGGACAATGCACGATAATAGAGTATGCGATCCTTTCCGGGTTTGTAAGGTGAAATAGCCATGCCCAATATTCCGTCCATTAACTCGAAGCTAGTTCCTGAAAAGAAGTTTACAAATTTTTGCTTTTTCTTATTTTTTATATAGCAATCGAAATAAAAAGG